GGGGTTCTGCAGCTGTCACCCATACACTGAAGCTGCCATGGGGGAAGCAATGGGTCCTTTTAGTAATAAGGGACAATCTCCATAGACAAGGGTCTATGGAGATTGTCAGTCATCCAGGTCATGGTTGTCCCAAAGGTGCTTTTTCAAGAGGCAACTGGACTTTCTGGTTTTTCTTTGAAGACGTTTTGCATCTCATCCAAGAAGCTTCTTCAGCTCTGACTGGATGGTGGGGAATGACAAGTGGAACTAAAAGATGCACTTCTCCTCATTCTCTTCTCATTTTTCCTGACATCCCTGAATTGGCAAGAGGAGTTGTGGAGATGGCTTTTTGGCATAGTGAGCACATCCTGGCACTCCTGCTGCCCCAAATTGAATTACTCTAAAATCAGTAGGTGGAGACCAGAAAGGGTCATGCACACCTTGGCCTAAGATGGTCAAAAGTAGTAGGACAGTCCCTATTCCCAAATCTACCTCAGAATTATTTCCTGCAGACTGTCCTCTCAGCACAGCTTAGGCCAACAAAAGCTGGAAATTCCTTATTGGGGGGCAATGAGTAGGCTGAGAACAATATTGTGTCTGTGCTCTCAGTAAATGGTTATTTGAATTTTCTTTACACTGAGGCAAAAGGAACATAAAGAGGAGCCTTTAGAGCAGTGGTTCTCAACCTGTGGGTCGCGACCCCTTTGGGGGTCGAAGACCCTTTCACAGGGGTCACCTAAGACCATCAGAAAACAAGTATTTTCAACTGTTTTAGGAATAATTTTATGGTTGGGGGTCACCACAACATGAGGAACTGTATTAAAGGGTCGTGGCATTAGGAAGGTTAAGAACCACTGCTTTAGAGGGACTATTGAAACCCCAGAAAGAGATTTGAGAGATACCTGATTCTAGAGCTGCAAACTGAACACTCCCCTCCAGAACAAGTTAATCAGTATTCAATGTTAGACACTAAGCATGTAGTGTTTTTATGATACTTTTGTCATCAATTAACAATAGAAGGCTTTGTCCAGAAAAGAGTAACCAAGATTATAAGGGGCCTAGAACAAAAATATTCTGAGTGATGGAGATTGTTTAGCCAAGTAAAGAGAAGATTCCCTTCCTTCTTTCACAATATATCCATATATATATATTCATAATATTCTAATGTTTTATTTTGTTTATCGTTCGTAATTCTTCAGTTGTACTACTTGTTACATATTCCTCTTCACATGTTCATTTTTCCCAGTTTTTTTCCACAGCTGTACTTTGCATTGAAGAATGTATATGTTTGCACCTGTTTTCCTGTCTTTGTAGAGCTGGATGATGTGAAAGGAAATAGGAAATTCTTTCAAATGGTACTGGCAAATCAAGATGAGTACTTTATTTGATAATTACTTCTTGTATTAGACAAAGATGGATTGGGTTATATGCAAAGGATCCAACCATGGATTGCACAATCATTACACAGACATACAACTAACACATGTAAAGAGCTGGTAATTAAACTACATGCTGCAAATGCTAATGGCAGACTTTAGGATATCTATTGTACCAGAACACTTAATGGTGATTAATAAACACAAACAGTTAAATATTTTGGGTATGTGAATGGTGGTACACGTGGCATGTAGTAGAAAGCTGAGGAATTTCCTAGAAGTACAGCAAGCAGATATATTGAAAATCCACTTAATAAACGGAAAGGGAGGAACAATGGACATTTAAATGTAGCATTTCAAGTATATAGAAATGAAGACCGTAGCACTGAGAGAAAGTAGCATATAAAGACGATTTTGATATGCATGTGTGACAGGCATTATGTAGAAAAGGGGCATCTCATCTAGTTGTACGTTCTTGGCTAAGAAGATAATTAGGAACTGATATATCTGTGTTTAACTGGAATCAGTTGAAGTTGGGTAGTGCCAAAACTAAATCCCAAAAAATAAATAAAATCTTTTAAAAGGCTTTGTTGTCCTGTGTACTAGATTGCGATTATGTAGTTCATTACTTCTAGTTTTTTATGTCTGAGTGCTGGTATCAGAAGTGGTTTGCTCACTTTTCAAAAGAGTTGTTGCAGGTCAGAAGCAGAGCAAAGAGTACTAATGGATGCTGTGTTATTTAAGTGTTTTGGTTCTTACAGAATAGCAGAACATCAATTGCTTTCAGCATTAGTCAAAACATAGCATGAATTCACTCAACCTACACAGAACATATATCAGCCTCCAATCCAAACCACTTACAACCAACCCACTATTGTGAACCCACTCTTGTTAGTGCAGAGGATTAGTAAATGTGTGCTAATCTGTACTTAAATCTCAGTATCAGATTTAGAAAAACCTATGGACTAAATCAAGAAGCAGGGAAGTAATATTCTCTGGATCATGATACAGCAGTGGCCAAAATTGTGGAAAGTGAAAAGTGTATTTTCTAAAACTAGCTAATAACACCACTTTTTTGTAGTAGTACCATAAAATTATATATCAATGGGAAGATAATTTAATCAAGAATGTAATGCAAGAACTTTTATGAAGGATTTGCTATTAGAATAGCAGTTACAGTATAAAGAAGAAAAGTGAAACACGTAGAAAAAATGAGATATACAAAAATTACCACGTCAGTTAATACTTAGTTGGGTAACCTTTAGCATGAATTACGGCCTTACAATGTCTTCCCATGGAGTGAACCAAGTGTTTTAGTTCTGCAGGTATCATAATGTGAAACCAAGAGTGAATGATTGCTTCTATTAACTGGGTTTTATTGCTGGGTCGCTTCTGACTAACAAGTTTCTTTAGTCAACTCCATAGATTTTCAATTGGGCTAAGATCTGGGCTATTCCTAGGCCATTCCAGCAATGGAATATGATTATCTTGAAACTCAAAAAAAAAAAAAGTGGTGTTATTAGCCATCAAACCTCAAAAATACACTTTTCCCAAAAGGTTTCCACAATTTTGGCCACTACTGTATGTGAAAGAGAATCGAAGAGTGGTAATAGGTATTCTCCATTCTGACTTTTGCATGCATAACAATTAATGGAAGCTTTAGCAACCATTTTTAACCAAAACCAAGATTTTCCCAGAGCTGCTTTTAACAAAATATATTAAAAAGAAATAGAATAAGATTACAGAAAATGCAGCAACTCAGTTGCTTTCATTTTAGAATCCAGTTTGTGTCCTAGGTAGTCAGTTTTTTATTCAACATCTGTGGTAGCTGAACAATGTGTAGATAGCAAAATATGAATTTCTTTAAAGTCCGAACACAATTCAGGTTGGGATGCTGGAAAAATCAGTGGCAGCAGCATGAAGAGGTTAGGAATATATCTGACTCGTTGTTGCCTAATTGTTTTAACATGTCTGGTTTGAATTCCCACACTGAGCAAGAGGTTAGCTTCAATGGCCTCTTTCTATACAAATAGGAAATGTTTTTCCAGTACTGAGGTGAAATGTTATCCATCTATCCTTAGTTAACCAGAAAGTTGTACTGGCATGAAATTTGCTGATTGCTGATCCCGCTTCTGCCTCTATTGCTTCTGTTCACCTGACTTCCTTCAAGATAATGGGTGACATTACAAATGTTACACACCTGAGGCTGACATCATTCAGATGCTGTCTGAATAAGGGAGACTTAATATAAAATTATACAAGGTTATACAATTATTGTATAAGTGTATAATAATGTATACAATATTGTATGCAATTATACATTATACAATTATATTAAAACCCAATTATTTAGACAATATAGTGAAACCTCCAGAAGGCAGCAAAACAAATTCATAAAAAATTGTCTAGGCATATTTGTGACCTAGTTAGGTATAAGGGGGGGGGGGGAATCTAAGCTTCCATGAAAAGACCTGCAGCTCTCATTACCAAACCAGTTCTTTTTTACATTGCCATGTGGAAAAAAAACCAGGGCAAGTCCTTTTATCCAAGATCACTTGTAAAACTCCCACCCAGAACATACAGTGGATAACTAGGTAGGCTTCCCATTTACTTTTAACATTTAGGGAACTTCTTTTCCTGAACAAATCAAAAGAAATAAAAGCATCTAAGGAGAACTTAACCTGCATTAACCAAAAACTCTCCATTGAAGAGTGGGAATCTATAGGAAGCAAAGCAGAGTGTGGTGGGAAAGGAAAATAAGTCTCGAAATTCAGCCTAATACCAGAACATAGTCTAGGCTTAATCCACACAATCCTAACCAGTTACTTGGATACTCACTGCAAGGGGTATTAACACACTTGCTCATAAGTGAGGCTGCAGCTGTAGATTTCCAGAAACTTTTTTTTTTCATTTTTTATTTTTTTTTTTTAATTTGATTTATATGCCGCCCTTCTCCGGAGACTCAGGGCGGCTTACAATGTGCTAAGCAATAGCCTTCATTCTTTTGTATATTTATACAAAGTCAGCTTATTGCCCCCACAACTGGGTCCTCAATTTACCTACCTTAGAAAGGATGGAAGGCTGAGTCAACCTTGAGCTTTGGTGAGATTCGAACCTGCAGTAATTGCAGGCAGCTGGTCTTAATAACCAGCTTAATAACAGGGTGCCTTAGACCACTGTACTACCAAGGCTCTTAATAAATATCTAGGCATAACTCTCATTCCTTTCTCTTCAGTGTCTCTTTCAGTCATGACTTGGGTTGCTGTTCAGGAGAAGTTTATGGTTCTGCTCATGTGTACAGATAGTCCTCAAGTTGCGGCCACAATTGAGCCCGAAATTTATGCTGCTAAGTGAAATATTTGTTAAGTGAGTTTGCCCCATTTTATGACTTTTCTTTCCGCTGTTGTTAAGTGAATCTGGATTTCCCATTGATTTTGCCTGTCGAAAGGTTGCAAAAGCTGATCACATGACCCTAGGACAGTGCAGCCATCATAAATATGAACCAATTGCCAAGCAACTGAATTTTGATCAAGTGACCATATGGATGCTGCAATGGTCATGTGAAAAACAGTTGTAAGTCACTTTTTTCAGTGCCGCTGTAACTTTGAATGGTCACTAAATGAACTGTTGTAAGTCAAGCACTACCTGTACTGTTATCAGGATCATGGTGGAGAAAAGGCAGAAAGCCATCTAGATGTTCCACAAGAGATTGCAGATCCTGGGAAAAGAACAGAAGCACTTTATCATTGGGCCTTGGAGCACAAGTTTGGAAGGGTATTTATTCTGGAAGATTTATGGAGACCAGGACTCAAATCTAATTTTTTTAGGTCTATGCCCTGTCTATCTTTCATACTCATGGAAACCACACCTTGGCTAAATTATGAAAACATGTTTGGGAGCATTCTCAGCTCCGGGTGCCATGTCCTTTCCAATCACCACATCATCATCACATACATGTCCACTCCAGTGCTCGAACCCCATGTTCAAATCAGCAGTTGTAAAGCACCTCACTCTGAAGCAGGACTTTCATTACACAAACTGGAACCCAGGACAAATGCTCCAGCACCATTTAGAAAAGAATAAAGATTGACATCAGCTCTTTGGCGTAGGCCAGATCACGATACAGACACAGGAAATACTAGAACTCTACTTTATTGATATAGGCTATATTAATTACATTGTAAGTCTGAGAGCATTTCTTCTCTATACATCTCACCCAACCATCATGCTTGTAAAAACACCTCATGCAAAGGAAGAGGGGATGGACAGAACACATTATATCTTGGTAGGATTTACCTTCCACCCTCAACATACTGTCACAGTGCCTCACTCAATACGTCCCCAACAGGGCATGTAAGAAAGTCTAAATTTGGATGGAGACCTGCAATTCCTACAATGGATATACCAATTTTGCAATATTGGAAAATATTGCAATGGATATGGTAGAAACTTATTGGGTGGGTTGACAGCAGAATGAAGGCAAAGACTTGTGCAGCAGAGCCCCAATTTTTTATCTGGCGATTAATAGCCCAGGGATGGGGGAGGGAGGGGAACTGACGGTCATTGTCTGCAAAGTGGTCGTGGTCGGAGGCATCGGCTGAGCGGCCTCCCGGAGGATGCGATAACCATTAACCAAAATCCCAACCGCGGCCTGTCAGCGCTGCTGCGCCTGAGAAGAAAACACCAAGGGAGCAGGAGTGGGGGGTGGGGAAGGACTCGGTGCTGGAGCCCAGCCAGACCCTATGCCGGACCAGCATCAGTGTGGTGTGGGCCTGTGAGGAAAGAGGCTCCTGGTTGGACTTGAAGCGACCCCTAGTAAAGTCTCTGCCTCTTAGGCGCGGGGGGGGGGGGGGCGCGGGGGGGTTGGGGGAGGCTCCCTCCAGCCTCGCCTCCCTGGAACAATGAGCCGGCTGCCTTGCTTGCTCCCTCACTGGCTTCTCGAAGGCCTGACGGCCGGCTGTCCCCAACCTCATCGCCTCAGGCCACTGGCACCGTGTCATTGCCACCGAGCGGGCCTCCCGCCTACCCCCCTTTCTCCGACCCAGCCGCTCATCTGTCACCACGCTCTCATTCCCGTTATTTACATCTGTCTTTAGCATTCTAATTACTCGTTTTATTACTTTCGCCTGGAGCAATCTCGTAAAACGCAGCCACAAAGAAAGACGCCGACCAACAATAAAGCCGGGCCTTAGATTCCCGCTGCCGATTAGGTTCCGCCCTGGAGAGGAGGCGCGAGCCGAGATGACCTCAACGTGTCCTCATGTTAGCCGCCTCAGCTCTCCGAGGAGGCCATTTTCCTCCCTGGGGATCCGGCGCCGAATCCCAGCTCCAGCCTGGATGGCTCCAGAGGAAGAAAGGGGAGAGCAGAGGAGCTGCTGCCGGCGAAGAGCGCTTTTCCTCCCTTCCCCCCACGCAATGAGAAAAAGGGAAAGCCGGGCATGTAGGCCCTCTCTCGTCTTCGTCGCTTTGGCTGTTCTTTTTTTTTTCCCTTTTCTTTCGAAGAGCTTCTCTGCATTTGTTCTCTATTTTTCGGGAGGGTCGATCCTGATGAGGAAGAGTTGAGCGGTCATTTTTTAAAAAAATCAAGAGAGAAAGAAAGAGAAGTAAAAGCGTTTTTCACCAGACGCTCCTTTTCATCTGCCGTTTAAACGTGACGCTTGTTTTGTTCAAAGCAGCTGTAAACCAAAAGCACATTTATTTTTATTTATTTTTGTGCTGGCCAAGGCTGCCAGATTGACTACTTTAGCCTGGAACGGAGCGCTACTTAATGCCCCGGGACAGGCTTCATTTAAAAGGGCACAGGATCCGGGAGCAGCTCTCGGTCCAAGTTGCTTAAAGAGCCTCAATGCGCTTCAGGATTGCACAGTAGGGGGAAAAAAATCGCTCGACTTTGCTGAAGGCTTTTCCTAATCCTTTATATAGCTGCCTTTTTAAGCAGGTTAATAAATTGATAATCGATGGAGCAGTCAAAAAAGCAAGACAATTGTTTAATGGGTCTTTTCGTCTCCTGTTTCCCACCCGCCCGCTCGCTGCTAAGCCAAGCAGGAGGACAAGCTTCGCCTTCACCTCCCTTCTCTCTGAATTGGGCTGGCTGGCTGGCTGGTTGATGCGAGGCTAAAGGAGGTGGGGGGGCGGAGGCTGAATGCAGATTTCTCTTATTTATCTGGCCTAGTGAAATGCTTGTTGCACTCAGCGACAATTTAATGCCTGGCCTAATGGGTTTCCCTTTATTATCTTTCACTAACACAATATCCTCCAGGAAAAAAAGATGACAGAATATATGGATTTTTAGATAAATAACAGGGGTAATTTATTGCCCTTGATGCTCCTACTGATGGAATGGTTGATAGATAATGTAATAATATGTACATAATTAAGCGGGCTTACTCTTCGTCCATCAAATTAAATTTGGCTGCACTGGATGTGTGTTTCTCCCCACTCCTCCTCTCAACACATCATAACTGGGATTTCATATGAAACATTTTCTTCCCAACTTGAGAGGGGAAATTAATGTCAAAAGAAGATACCACTACAAAAGGAGGCAAGTACTTAAATATAGTAATAGGAAGTTTCTGCTGTCCTACACAAAGCAGGGAATGTCCTGGGTAGATATATATTTTCAGTTCTGTTTTTTGCAGATGTGGATAGCTATGGTTTCATTTTGGGGTGTTGAGGCTTCAAGTCATATAATAAAATATTTGGGGGAGGACTATCCATCACCTCTTGAACAGCCAAAGCTATGTTTAATACCTATAAAATGCATTTGATCAGCAGAGGTTCTTCTCAGGGACCAGATTTATAGTTACTGGAATTTTAGAGAATGGCATAAAGCATTACAGAAGTATTAGACAAGGCTGCAAACTAAGGACAAATCTTGTATAATGAAAGTTGGAAAATATGAACACATTCTTTATGAAATGGAGAGGAGAAAATTTTTTGCAAAGGGGGGTTGCATGCTGCCTGTAGGTGCCCAAGATGTATTGAACAGTATGAGAGCACCAATTTATACTCATTTTTTATCTTAAAAATGAAAGCAATTAAGCATAAAAAATGTATAGAAAATCATTAGAAGGGAATCATCTCCAGTACTACCACAACATTTTCAAAAATAGAAAAAAGTAGTTATAGACATCAAGGACAAACAAAAATGTATTATGAATAGATGAATTAATACAATTATATGTGTTAAGGTGTTTTGAACAATACAAATCTATAAAACAGCTGTAGCTTAAACTTTTTGTGAAGCAGGAAAGGAATCCTATATTTGAAGTGCAGTCTTCAAAGAAATACCAATTTGCTGAAACATTGTTTTTGGAAATAGGAAAAGATTGAATGCTTCATGGAAGTACCTTGAAAAGTTAGGTTGTTTAATGTACTTAAAATAACACATTAATATCAATATTGTATCAATTCTGTATCATTAGGCATTAATTCTGTATCAGAGTTGAAATCTCAAGTGAACAGCAGAAAACAAACAGGATTGTTGTTTTTTACCAATATTAAGTAAAAAAAATGCTTACATAGGTTGATTTCAATACTTCAATAAGTGAAAATTGGGCTTTTGATGACTGATTTCCACTTATTAAAGTCAACCTATGTAAACATTTTTGACTTAATATTGGTCAAAAAACCAACCTCCTTTCTGTTTTCTACTCTTCCTGTTCTTCACTTGAGATTTCAACTCTGATACAGTATTAATGCCTAATGTTTTTTTCTATATTCCCTTTTAACACCTTTCTTCATATCTTTGACAATTTCCTTTGGTCTGCATCTTATATCACAAGCCTTTTGGGCAGGAGACTTCTTAGAAGTTTCTTTTTCAATACAAATAGCAATGTGCGTACATATGTTTCTATGTGTGTATACCTGCAAGAATATATTGACAACATGTTAGGTTTGTTTTTAGTGCCACAACAATCTGCTTTTCCACTCTTAGTCTTTATTACCTAGTTTAGGAACTCCTCTCTCAGAAGCCACTATCCAGAACCTATCATTCCCCTCCAACACCCCTGAAAAACTGAAATGATGTTGAGGCTGTTATCCTGTGGTAGCCACTGGAACTCAGTGGAGCTAGGGATACTGCAGAACAGAGATGAAACCCTGCTAAATAGAGTTTGGCCAGAATGATAAAAAGAATTGAGATCAGACATAACTCTAAGTCACTGTAAACCATAGTTTACTGCAATTGTGTCCCTGAGAAGTCAAAATAGCAGTTCTGGTACTGAGATCAAGTCTTCACTCCCAACCACAGAGTTACAGTATGGTATTACATTAAACAGGCCAGGAGGAAAGTGACAACACAAAGAGAGTTGTATCTTTGTCTGAGTGCTAACCTCCTAAAAGTTTTAAGGACTGGAACTATTAAGATTTCCATTTAAAGACTGATTGTAATAAGATGTGCCCGAGAGACCAAAGTCAAGAATACCGGGAATCTGCGTGGGCCAGCCTTCACCTGCCCCTCTCCCAACATGCTAGGAGCACCAGCTCCAGAAGAGCCGGTCTGGGGGACCCCAAGGCCTTGAGGGCGGTGCTGGAAGGATCAAGCGCTATCTCGGTGTCCTTCCTTTAACCCTGGTGACCCGGCCAAGCCAAGCCCTGGTCCGCCCCTCGTTCTTGTGCATCGGCTGGAGGCAGGGCGTGCTTGGTCTTCCAAACTCATCTAAATTACATCAATAACAGAGCGCACTCTTTAATGAGCTCTCAACTTTAAAGACTTGAAGGATATTAACAAGCCGCTTGACAAATGGTGCTTAGAAGCACATTAAAGACGCTGCTAATGGAGCGCATAATGACGGCTAATTTTCGATCAGATATAAATTAGAGCCCCAACAGTTATTTGCCTTAAGGACTTTATGTAAATGATCCTGTTCTGTATAAACTGAAAAGCGAAGAGCGCCCGGCCTGTTGGCAGTCCTCGAGGAGATGATTAATAGAGCTGCAGACGAACTGGGCAGGCGAGACGCGTGGCATTTCCAGCGGAAAAGTCACGCGGGGGGTGGAACGGTAAATAGCGTGGCGAGCGACAAGGAGCGCGGCCGGAGGGCGAGTCGGCGCAGGCCGGCGGCGCAGCGAGGACAGATGGGGAGGGAGGAAACCGAGAGCTGGGACAGAGCGAGTCACGCTCCGCGCTGGCATCGGAAGGGTCGCCTGTGCCACCTTCGGGGCACATGAGCTGCTCTCACCGGCCTCCAACTCGTCCTGGCTGGGCTGCCTTCCTAAAGCATCCAAGATTTGGTAGGTTCACCTTTCTCCGTTCAGATCCACCGCCCAATGACAAAGGATTAGAGGCCAAGCCTGGTAATGAAAGGGGTACATCCGCTCGAAAGTCCCCCCGGCAGCCTGGGTCCCCTTCAGTCTTGGTCAAAAATCTTGACTGTCTAGGAGGCAAGAGACTCATTCTGGATGTTGGAGAAGAAACGCTACGCGGTTCTCTTCCCAAAAGACCAAACCTCCTTCCCCCTCGCAGCTACATTCGCAACGTGGAGATTTACGATCACTTACCTCGATTATTCTGCTTTCTCGGTGAAGGGTCTGTGTGAGCTTTGGGAAGCAACTCGCCTAACTCGAACGATAAAGCCAAACCCCACATTCAATGTGTTAGGGTATTTTCAAGTTGTTGGATTCTTCTGAAAGCAGATGAATTGACGTAATAAAGGATTTTGCCTAATACACAGTTGAGATTTCCCGCCATTGTTTTTCTATTCCAGGTTGTTTTCTTCCAAATAGCGTTTCTGTTCAAAAATCTGTTTGCCATCAAACCCTGGCCACACATGATCGGTTTATCAAAGCATAGTTCAGTCAAGCACATGCAGCCACCTGCATGTGCTTGACTGAGGATTGATATAGAGGGAGGAGATACAAAACTCTCCATTTTGCAAAACAGACTAGGTGTCAGAGTACCGCATTTTACCTTATGACTTACCCATACCAGACTCTGCAAAAATCCGAAGTGCTAGATGGCAGCAAAGGAATACAGAACAGGCAATCTATTTGTGCCTTCAAATTTTCCTCAGTACTGAACAAGCAGTCCTCATCAGCGCAAATGCCTTCATCAATTCTAGAAAGGGCCTCTAGGATATCTAAAGCCAGATAAGGAATTAAGATTACTTTTTATTAGCAGAGCCTCATGAGATGTGTTTGATAGAAAGACACAGGGAGCTACAAAGACTTCAGTAGAATGACTGACTGGACTGAAAAACAAAGCAACTTGTGTCAACTTGGTCTTCTTGTGTGTTGTTCCTCATTAAAGGGCTGGTCCTGTGAACTGATATAGCTGTTTTTGTTTCTATTGATATAAACTGAGCAACTGTGTATATATTGCATTCATTTTGTGTGTGAATATAAATAAAATAAACTGTCCAATTAAACAATGAGGTAAAGTAAAAGTATCTTAAATGTCTATTTCTGATGTCTTCATAGACAACTCCATGTACTTCACTTGACAATAGTATAGATATGATTTGATATTTCTTCTTCCCAAACATTTTGTTGAACTTCCCTGTCTAAACTATAACTGGGTAATTTCCTAATGACTTTCATCCAGGTATTAACCATGTCCACCAAGTTTAGCATTTTAAGATCAGGCAAGGTGGTATCGCCAATACCTCAACTATTTTCCTCTTTAATCAAGATGAAAACACTTCTGAAATACCATATTTTGTTTTAAAAAAACACCCTTTCCTCAACTCTCTTCCTCTCGTGTACACTGGGAGTATAAACCTCAATTCCCTGTCAAAAGATTATTGTAATCTCCAACACTTTTGGATGGGAGGTTGAGAAAAGGCTGTTCCAAGTTTCCACATCTTCCTTGAAACATGAAATAAAATATCTCGTGAAAGGCAAACTCCTGGACATATGGGTGGGTCATCTGAAGTGCCACAAAATGGTTTTTGGAGAGCAGGAACCATTATTTGTTTCTACTGATTTTGATCAAGATACATTAGTTGTAACCTGAAATTGTTGGGGGGCACGGAAGAATGTATTTGTACATTTCTAATGCATTAAAATCTTATTGTTTTAATTTAGAACAGTGTTTCTCAACCTTGGAAGCTTGAAGATGGGCCCTGCTGGCTGGGGGATTCTGGCTGGGGGATTCTGGGAGCTGAAGTCCACCCATCTTCAAGCTACCAAGGTTGAGAAACACTGATTTAGAGACTCCCTTCTAAAAAAATAAAACTCCTAGGAAGAGGTTTGACTGCCTGGCTGCTCTTGCGTTACTGTATTGTTAAGTTTCAGCAAGGCCACCTGTTCAAGGAGGAATGGCATGCCCTCTTCCACTCTGTGCATTTCTTGGTAAGGTTGAAGGCCTTCCCTCAGTCAATCAGCCAAGTCTCTTGTCCACAGCTGCTTGGGCTTGGGCAACTAAAAAGATGGATCCTCAGAGAAAAGGACGGCCCTTACAAGTTCCACCAGATAACATTTCCACATTCTGGGAACTTGCCTTTTAGCTGCAACAAATGAGCCTGAAACCCTAAATTCTTGCTGATGAAAACAGGGCTAGACAATAAGGTCGCCCCTGCAGAAAGTCCACAGACAGCCTCAGCGTCTTGTTTTGCTCTGCCAGTTGGGAAATTAAAGGGACCGGCCACTTTCCTAACCCGGGGCCCTGGCCAGCCCCCCCCCCCCCCCATTTACTCAGCCGGTCCCCCCGACCTTCTTCGGGCCTTCCCGCTGCGTGTGTGGGTGGGGTGGGGTGGGGGGGATGCTAGGCCTTTGCACTCCCTACCGGTAGCCTTGAACTCGGTTTCGGCAGGCCCTGGAGCGCCAACAGGGGGCACGGCTACAGCTTTTTCCAGACTGGCTTCCTGCCTCCGGATCCAGAAGTACAACAGAGGGTTGCGGAAGAAGCAGCGGTTGTTTTCCACGTGGTGGATCAGAGCTTTCAAATGGCTTTTAAAGTGCAAGGGAAAGGATCGCCGCCAGCAGGCAAGGCCATCCTGTGGTTTCCTAAATATGAACTCAGGTAGCTCTGGGTTTATTTAACACATCGCGCGGTACAACAACTCGTAGTTTAGCAAGTATCCCAGTCTCCGCCTTCTGTCCTTCCCATCAGTCAAGAAGAAACTTGGATTCTTGGGCACCAAACGGAACCAGTTGAAAAACGTGGGCAGACGTCTTTGGGAGCACACAGTAGGGAAGCCAGAAAAGAAACACCCTAAATGGCTTGCATGTTACTGATGCCCCGCTGCCGGTATACGCTAATCTGGATTTTCCCCACCCCCGCCTCCCCCCAACATAAAAATTAGCCAGTCACATTTTAGCCTATGTGTGCTAGTGAAATTGGACTAATTCAATCATAGGTAAAACTGTTCCATGAACGTTCTGGGAAGTGTAGGACCTTCCAAGCCACGTCCTCCACGCGCCAAAGGAAGGGCCCCGGCGGTTCCCGCCAGGGGTAGAAAAATTTAACAGTAACAGAGTTGGAAGGGACCTTGGAGGTCATCTAGTCCAACCCCCTGCTCACGCAGGAGACTTGGGGAAAAGTGAGGGAAAGCTGCGCATAACTGCAAGCTGCCTGGGACATTGTTCTCAAGAGTTATTTTTAACTCTTAAATTGAGGACCCGGATTGTGGGAGCAATAAACCAACTTTGTATAGAACAACACCGCTTGGGGGGGGGGGCAAAGCCCTAATAAGCAGGTATATACAAAAAAGTATGCAGGCTATTGCTATAATGCATTGTAAGCCGCCCTGAGTCTACGGAGAAGGGCGGCATATAAATTGGACTAATAAATAAATAAATAAATCGTGATAAGTTGTTGACTATAAACCATAATGTCTGGGTTCACATGAGCCAACTGAGGAGTGAGGGGATAACGTTTTGGTTTAGCCGATATGCGAAATTTCATTCGGAATCGATTTTTTTTTACCATGCTGCATAGCTAACAAGGCTTTTCCACTGTTCCCTAATGTAAGATGAGTGATTTGGCGACTGTTGCTATTCGGTGGAGAGAAGCAGTCAGTCTGCAATTGCTCGGAGAGTGCCTTCTTATCTGGATTGCTCGCTTTCGAAGGGTGACACGCGATTTTCAGCTCAGTTCTGCTTTCGAATCCACGACCTCTGCTTCCAATACTTCCCCTGGGAAATGAGGGCCCTACCCAGAGCCTGCTCTCCTCCTACTAGACCAAACCAATCTAGTCAATCCTCTCGCAGATGGACACTGCGGAAACCCCTGAAAGCAGATTTGTTACTTGTCCTATACATTGAGAGAGAAATCAGCTTTGCTGATGGAGCGGTTATGGAGTTTGTCTCCAAGTATACCAAATCTATCAAGCACCTATGCTTTTAAATTCCAGTTGAAAAATAGATCTTATTTTTTTCTGAAAGATTTGACATATATTTTCGTCGTTATGAAATGCTGCTAATGTTCCAAATGGAATTCCACTTAATAATTACATATGCGGAGATGGGAATTAATGTTATTAAGTGTTATTATTGTTAATAAGCCAGCTCCTTGGGAAAAACTCGATAGATGGACGAAAATGCCAAATCGAATCTAAACGTCTGACTGTGAGCCCAACCATTATAAATAATAGCGTCCCTTTAAGCAGGATAATACATCCTTCCGGCTTTTTTATTTCTTTTTTAACCAACTAGGGTGCGCTAATGAGCCGGGTGTTTACTTACCCGGTTTTGAAGTTCGCAGAAACTTCTTTTCTCTTGATGAGTTAATGGCATCTCCGTTGCCTCCAGAGTCAACTCTACAATATGTAGATTTGCTACCAAATATTTCCGAAGCAGCGCCTACGGTAACAAGCGGCCCTGGGAAATCAATAGGACGATGTAAGAAACGCGCAACTAAGAACTCAATGGATGAATCAATAGCTTTCCGAACCGAAGTGTTTGATATTGGTGGAAACAATCGTGTGTGCGTTTGTGTATGTGTGTCAGGGAATCAGATTTACAAGCGTCGTGTTTCATCGAATTTTAATGTTTGTAAGCCGCCCAGAGCCGCCTCTAGGCGAGATGGGCGGCAAACAAGCTAAATAAATAAATAAATAAATAAATAAATAAATAAATAAATAAATAAATAAATAAATAAATAAATCTTCAAAACTACACGCCTTATTACAGAAAGGATTGACTTTTTAATATTCAAAATTGTTAGGCGCCAATAAAAGATTGTGGAGCACTGTCTCCTCAGTATGACTTGAAGGAAAGTTCTACCGAGACTACTTGTCTAGGGCTGGGTTACCACCCACTTGTAGGCAACAATCAATGCATGTTTACCGAAGCGATTTCTCTCCTCCCTCTTCCCCTCCCCACGATCGCTTCGAGGAGGCGGGTCTTCAACCACAGCGTTAAAAACATTTCCATTGTAATCACTTGGCTTTTTTTCCCCCTCCTGACTTTTTTTTTTCAACACACAATTCCCCCGAAATGGCTTATTGGAAAACCTTAACACACTCCTCCGATTTCCCATTTGTTCCCAGGCGAGATAATTTCAGGCTAGCTTTAAGGAGGTTTTAAAGGATTAAAGGGCATTGTCACTGAAACCGGGGCAAAAATATCAAAAGGAGGTGGGGAGGGGGAGTTGATTCAAAGTAGTGACATCTTGGGTTCTTTGTCAGGAGTAAATCTTCCATGGCAGATTAGGATCTCTACTCCCTCTAGTCCAAGAATATCCAAAATAAAACATCTTTAGCTTATAGCCCTGTGCTTACAGAGAGCACGGCAGACTTCAATGAGATTCATTTTTGAGAAAACTCCTATAGCCTTGGGCTATCGTGGTTTTTTTTTTTTTTCAATTAAGGAGAGTTCAGCACAGAATCCATGCCCACCCTCCCAATTGTGGAGATGGATGATACACTAGAATGTGCTCTCCCCAGCTCTTTAGGAAGAGAGGAGGCAGACGGTTAGCCTTTTGGTTATCTTGGGAACTCAGCTTCAGTTTGACACACATACACTTTCAAGACCAGATCGCAATTTTAGCTGACAATTGATTGTGAGCAATACAACTCTGAGAGAACTCAAACTTAGCTCTTCTAGAATTGGGATTCTATTGCAGCTTTTCTTCTGCCTGGAAAGGTTATGAAACCTGCACCAAATTAGAGGAACTGAAATGTTATTGGATAAACATACCATATTTACCAGTTGCACTTTTTTCAATCTTTAGCCAGCTTTCTGAATGTTGAACCATTACTGGCTTTCTAATCAAGTCGTATAATTTTGTTCTAAAATGCTATAGGCATTTAACACTGGATGTTTAAATATATGCCACCTACATTTTAAAATGTTTGTCTGATGTTGACCTGCAGCTCAAATGCATGCCATTTTTAGTTACAAATTGTTCATTTCCACATGATAAACTAGAGGGCGTTTTGCGAATATTTAGCCTTATAATAACTGCTGAGAAATTAACTAGGACTTTACAAACCTGAAACCAAAAGACAATCACATTCCCACAAATGGTGCTTCCTAAGAAACAGTTTAACATTCTAGAATCGATCAGCCAAGCCACAGGTTGCCAGAGAGGGGAGAATATTTAACAAAATTGTGGTCCTCATTTCTGTTTTTGTACATATCTAACTCAGTTCTAGTTTAATTTTCCTCATTTTCTAAAAATACTTGCAGTCCATTTCAAAAACAATGGTAAATAATGCTAATGCTAGTTTTTAATGAAAAGGGAGATGCCTGGCTATATGCAGCTCTTCTCAGAAGTAAATGTTCTTGAGTCTTACCACCAGATAAGTCAAACTTACAGACAGCCCAGGGGAGATGCAGTTTCTTGGAAGATGCTAAGTACAGAAGCTCTGGCAAAGTTACTGAGGACAACTTGATTGGTAAAAGCAGTTACCGTGCAGGATCTAATTTACATTAATTCTGGTACAGCAAAGTGCTTTTCTGGTCAAGATATCGTACAAGCAATACTTTTAAATGCACTTCCTTTATCTTACAATAAGCTTTCATCTATTTTATAGATATTGAACTATGAAGTACAGATTAATAAAGGAATACATAAACATTGTTCAGACATTTTACCTTGATTTTCTACATCCTTGGAAGGAACTATTCATAAGTAATTAAATGTATGACAGCCCAAATTTGTACATAGTACAGCTAGGTCCCATTAAGTATTAGGGTAGAGCAAACAGTAGGGTTGATATATCAAGTATCTAACTTTTACCATTTGTTTTACGAGTGTGAAAAACCAAGGGGAAATAATAATCAGACTTGTAAGAAACTAGCACCTTCACTTCTACTGGAATCTAATGAATTCTTCTGCCTTCTTTTGGGCAGAGTTGGTGGGTGGGTGAGGCAGTGTCTACATTTCAGAGAGTGTGACTGAGAGGTTAGAACTGAACTGCATTAGTTTAAAAGCAGTAATTAAACAGTAAAAGTAGTTTACTTTAGAGGATATGCCACCTCAACAACTTTTCAGCAAATGTACTGGGCATAGCTGCATTAGAGGAGGGGAAGGGATAAAGGAATAAAAAGAGGCCAAACCCCTTGCCCACTCCACCATGACTCTCAACTACTATACTTCACAAAATAGATTTTTTTATTAAAACTAGAAGAGCTAAAGGCATTCATTAAGTGCCTCTCCCTCCCAAAAAAGCAGACAGTGATGTCAGGAGAGACAATTCTATCAAAAATACACAGTTCAGGGTTGTCCTCATAAGCAAATATCATAGTGGGCATAATCTATACAGCCAAAGTGTAACATTACCAAGATTAGGCATGTGCTGCAAATCTCATTAAGTACGGTTGCCTTCCTTTTGTGAAAGCAATAGTGGCAAGGATATTTAATTACAGTTACTTTTGGCTGGAGCCCTAAACACATGACAAATCTCTGCCTCAACAAGCTCACACGCTTTAAGCAAAATAGGTGGCCAGTCATACCTGTCTTATTGATGCCCACAGCAGGTTCCTTTTCTCATTAAAGTGGGTGGCACTGTCTGCAGCTGTGGTTTCCTTTAACACCTCTCCTACTCCAGTTCTTCCTGCTCACTCTGTGCCTGCCTGGGGGTCCTTAGTTTAATTTAATGTAACCCTCTGAGGGCTAGGGCTATGTGGCCAGGCTGGCTTAATGCTGTATTAGGGAAGCATCAAAGTCAATTTATTGGTTTGGGGATAACAATCGAGATATAAATACAGATACATACACACACACGTGCACACACACATTCTTTTCCAGGTGCTTGCAGCAGAATTTCTTCTGGATAACTTGAGGAAGGGAAGGGAAAGATTACCTTGCTACCATGAACTCAATGGACCAGCACCATTTCTGTGTAAGCCTGAAGCCACAATTCTGCAGCACTCTTTGTTTGTTCAGTATTTCTAGAGGGGAAAAAAAAACAAAATCCAAAAGTTAGGCTCATCCTATTTACTTAAATAATCTCAGATATTGGCTTTTGAACCCAGAAAGAAAAAAAAATATAATTCTAACACTTGTCAAATAGAAGGTCATACATTTAAATATACAATATCAGCCATAAAGGTTGCCTTGAGACTTTGAGCCAACTTTTAATTTTAGGATAATCTCCCTCACAAGACTGTTTTGAGAATACAATTCCCAGAGCAGGGTTTTCTGCCTTTAGGATCCCTGGAAGAAAAGTGGGATATAAATTCAATAAATGAACTGCTTCACGGTTTAAAATTGGAATATCTTAACTATCGTTGGAAATGGTTAAGAGGTGGAATGCACAAATTAAGTAACGTTTTTTCCACCCCCACCCTCACCCCCACCCCACCCCCTACAAATGGAAATCTCAAGTTAGTTAGTTTCCTTCCTCCCTTTTTCTTTGTCAAAGAATAATTTATGGGCGGAATTCTCTAGAGTATTTCAGTAAAGGAAAGTGATGAAGCCAGATAGCATTATAACTAGCCGCAATTATTAACATACCACGGTTTAAAACAGTCCTGACTGATTTGGGAAACTTGGGGCTTTTCCCTCTTTTGCGGAGCAGGAGACCAGTGGCAGGTGAAAGCGATCTGCGGCTGGTTAATCCACTCCTGTTACAGGGAGCAGGGAGCTCAGAGTATGCCTTCCAACTCAGGTCTGGGATATGGTTTCCCAGCGGTGCGGAGTTTGCTTTTTGTCGGGGGGGGGGGCGGGGCGGGGCGGGAGAGATTTTACTGTGATTAATGTTCAGCAAAGCCTAGAGAGCACTTCTGTTCCTCCTCCTCCTCTCCCTCCCGCCCCCTTGGATGTATGATTAGCACACGAGCTATATGTTGCTTTACTTCGTCTACCTGCAGGAACTGAAACTTGACGAACTTGTCAAAGGAACACAAACAGAAATGACAACCTTACTCACCCAAAGCTTTGGGAGCGTTTGAAAATGAGATTACACCACAAGGAGAGAGAGAGAGACTGCCTTTGCTCTCCCATCCCCAGCCTTCATCGATTTGTTCCTGAAAAGCCTGCGCATTTTTATAACAGCTACAGCCGATTAATATTGCATTAACCCCTGTTTTAAAACAACCCAAAAGCACCAGAAACCCACACCCCATCAAAGCCATGTATTATTCAAACAAAGGTAATCAGAGACTCTATATGTGTATATATGTTAATGGGCAAAAGAGAATCCTACATTGGTGACACTGCCCTCGAAAGGAAAAGGGACTAGAAATGCTTCTAATATTTAATTTCAGATCTGTAGTTTACCTAATTTGAGATTAAAAGCAGTCACGTCTTTGAAGCCAGACACTCAGTATAAATGTACAGTTAAAATATTCTACTCCAGAGTCCCCAGATGAGGCCCTCTCAAGTCCCAGGCTTCATTAAATTTTAATTATCATCCCAGGCTTGAGCAAGGAAAAGGGAAGAGATTGTCCACCTAATTACAATTGATAAAAAAAACCCTCGTTTTTCCTCTCTCCAGTATGTGTTTAATAGCTTATTTTATATGCTAAAGCTTTAAATGCAAGAAATGAGGCAATCACACATTATAGATTATAGGTCTCCTCTATCCAAGATACTCCTTTTAAAAAGCTGGAGTCAGGGGAAAGGGAAACCCTAACATGAGCTCAGAGCAAGATTTGGAGGAAGATCAATGAAAAAGATGACTACCTCCTTAATTAGGTTCCTGCCGTTATGAGGTGGGTGCTTTATTGTAGCTGAAACAAAGCCCAGGCTTTTCTTAGTTGAGAAAACCTTTCCCCTTTTGTACTAAGAAAAGCATAAGTTTTCTATAAATCTATTTCTGAACCTCCAATTCCTCTTCTTAAATTTGTGTTTAACAATTTCCTTATCAACAAAATAAAAATAGGGATTAAGTAAACCTTATGTCTGACAGTTTTGTTAAAAGCCAGTCTTTCTTTCTTTCTTTCTTTCATTCCTTTAGCTGTTTTGGCTTTCTAAGCAGCTTCCTATTACCACCACTTAATTTTATTTCCATTCTCTCCAAGTTAAATAGAAAGGCCAGGCTCACAAGGGAGCTGCCATGTGCCTACAGACTAAGGATGTCAAGCAAAGCCTTGCTGTGCAAAGTTAATTTCAATTCCCGAGGAGGGTTTCACATTCCAGCTTGCTGTGACCTGCAGTAATTAGCTGAGATAACGAATGATTACTTACTTATTCCTTGTAATTATCTGGATTTAATAATTCGCTGTGTAATTTATTAATTCTCCCATAATAGCCTTTAAGTGAATGGCTCATTTAAGTGGGCCAAGAGGAAGTGAAAAGATAAAAGACTTCACAGGACTTACGTGAGGCCTCTGGTCTTCTGTCATTCTTCAGGATTTTTTTTTGTACTTGCTTTCTGGAACGTTTCCAAAATGCCTGATTGAGCCTTTCATCTCTGCATAGGTATGCAATTGTCACGCTTATTCTCCTTCAATGTGGGCTGTATTTATGAATTCCAAATTGGCTTTGTTTCAGGAAGGAACAGTAACTGCTTTGGTAATTTAAAAATAAAAACCATATTTTGGATGATAATGACTTCTTAGCAGTTGTATTTTAACTCTTAAATTTCTAGGTCACAGATGCTCCCTATTGGACAGTAGAAGAAATGAGCAATCAAGGTAGAGTCAGGCATTTTTTATGGAGTAAAATCATAAAGTCTGCATCCTTCTTTCTTTCCACTTACATAGAAAAGCCTTATTGGCCTTACACACACACACACACACACACACACACACACATACACCACTGCTTTCTATTGAACTATCTATGCATATGTAGTTCTTTGACCCTTGCTGGCTGCTCAAGTTTTGATATAAGCTAATCAGTTAATATATTTTGCCTTTTTTGTCCACAACATAGAACAAAATAATACAGCATGATTGTTAATATTATTCCATTGTAACATCTGTCCTTATAAATTTTGTCCAGAATTTCTATGTACAGCTAAATTTAACTGGATGTAGTTTTTACGGAAGTTCTGTTTACTTTGGGACAATTTTAAAGGATCCACACCTAACCCAGGCCCGTACATGTATGTTTATCACAAAGATTATTTTAAAAGAAGCAAAGTCATAATGTAGTTACATTTCTGTCCAAGAGTCCCTGAAAATGAGATGTGTAAACAGAGTCCCAACCTTAGCATTTGATCTCCCTGCCCAATTTTCAGAATAATTAGATTCTAGACCAGAAAAGCTGCACGGTTCTGAGGATTCACAAATATTTTAAAGCATCTTACTGATGGATTTTATACTTGATTGGGTTGAAAGAGAAGCAGCGTTCAGTAATAGCAAGCTTCAAGCTGTGCCCATTTGGCTGTTCAAAGTATCTTCAAAATAACATTTCAGTAACCAGAAGCAGATAAATATTAAATGGCAATGTTGAAAAGAATTGATTAACTCTTTCCTTTGGTATCAACACCACTGCCTTACAGCGTATTGAAATAATCTGTACCTTAAAGTAGTTTTTTTCCATTTACATTTCGTTTATCAGACATGGCTACTCTTAGGGAAATAGGATTTTAGAATCAGGCAATTAATCCTTTTGCACTGTGTTGTGATTAAACATTTGTAAAAGTGATCTCAATTTAAAAAGCAAGTGATAGAGAAATATTTCATTATTTGAATTCACAGGGTGCTAAATTGATGTAGAGGAAGTATTACTGATCATCTAATCATGAAATGACCGTCATACTCTGAGACATCATCCAAGCAGTAAAACGTGTATTAACTGAATTAACGCTTGGGTGGAGGGAGGGAACGGGAAGTGCTATCCTAAACTTGCATAAGTCACATGCCTAGAGTCTGTGGATTTATGCGAATATATTAGACGGGTTTCTTTCAAGATTCTTTCCCCTCCCCTTGATATTTTGTTTTATTAAGCATAGCTATAATAGACTGTGGGAGGGGGGAATCTATGATTAAATGTTTTCTCTATAGAAAATAGCTGCTCCCTTCACCTTTTTGCCCCCTCCCCTTCATCATCCCCATTTCCCCTACACTCCGCCTCTTTTCCCCCATTCCCTTTCCTTCGTCCTCGCTCTCTCCCGCGATGAGCCGGAAGAAACAGCCTCTGGCAAACAGGCAAGATTGAACTGAGAGTAAGAGAGCGCCGAGGAGCTGTCCTTGGTCCTGAAAGCGCTGGCTGCTGTGCGCAGATGCTGCTGTAGCTTTCTAATCGCTGTCACATAAAATAAAAGGTGGAAAGAGAGGGGAAGCAGGCTGTTTCAATACATACATACATACATACATACATACATACATACATACATACATACATACGCACACATATACACCTTCGTGCGCCTATACACTCACAAACTCGCACACACGACTTTTCAGTTACTGTTTTCTCATGGATTACAACTTCTATTTCTGGAATTAGGTGGCATTTCAAAGCAGACTACCTTTGATTCTTTTTTAAAAATTCCAACCGAAAAACAGCACACTATTGTCTCAATTCACACTCGCTACATCAAAGACCTTAGTTCCTTGGGCAACAAGGTTACCAATTTATACATCTTAGTTTGATCCTCTAGAAGACAGCATATGCCAGTTGCATACCTTGCTCTGGTTGCTAGATCTTTATAGCACAAAGAGCACGTTCTGCAGGGTATTTATATAACTCTTTCAGGGCTACCTTTTGATCTCATGGTATAGCTTTAATTTAGCTCTTGATCCAGGCGATTTATGATCATTTATCAAATACAAGAGGAGATGAAAAGTGGGAATGTTTTCTTTAGGGAGTCTGGCAGAGGTGGAGTAAAAAAAAGAACAATCTGCTATCTTTTCTCAGTCTTTTCTCTTGAGCGTCTTCTCTCTCTTTATTGGAATAAGGGGTTTTCCTCCTTAAATTAGGAGGCTGAGGAAGTTTCTCCATAGAAATATATTTTACAATTTATTTCAAATTCTGATCACAATTTGATCTTTCTCTTCAAACA